AACATTAACAGCATAACACTTACCTTTATTGGCGATTCTTCTTAGTGTATGGAAGACTGGAGGAGGAGAGAGATTGGATTAGTTACTGTTTGGAAGGGGAATCCCCTTCCATCAAGACCTCAGGTACCAAGTCCTTTTTTGGGGTTACATACTTATCTTCTCTGTTTCTTAATGCCACTAGGACCAGCTTAAGAGTCACTAGAGTCCTGTCTCGCAAAAGAAGTGTCCAGAGAGCTCTGTTTCTGGCATCTCTTTAAAACTTCCCTAAAATGGGCCAAGACTCTGTCACTGTACAAGTTGCCGATATGGCTTGCAACATCCTTCTCAGGGTGATGTTTCTCCATAAATCTTTCCATCCTACCCCACATTTCAAAAATCTCCTTAATTTCTGAAGAAGGCACCTTCTTCCATCTCTCTTCCTCCTCCTCTGCAGCAAGATTCTGAGCTGCAATCTGTTGCTGTTCCTGCTGAAGCTCTTGCGGCTCCTGTGGTTAGCTCTTCATTGTGGTCCTCCACCAACTCTTCCACATCCTCCAAACTCACATCCAACCCCATGGAACTCCCCAGTGCCACAATAGATTTCACAACTGACGTAGGCTCATCAGGGTCAGCCACAAAACCTTCAAAATCCCTCATGGACACAATCTGGGCACAATTTTCTCCAAGCAACAACAGCTTCCTTGATTTCCTTTTTCTTTGCTACGATGGAAGATATGGTTGTATGGGGTTAGTTATACATCCTGGCCAGTTCGGCCACACGTACGCCACTTTCATATTGTTCAATGATGTTTTTCTTAAATTCAATCATATTTCTCACCTTCTTTACCAAAGGCTTGGCACTAGGAGCTTTCTTTGGAGCCATGGTAGCTTATTTAGCACTTGCAAGCACTAAAATGAATGGATTATGAAATATTTTGTATGAACAAGTGAGGGGACCATCGCTCACTGGTAAACAATGGCACACTGGCTGGGAAGGGAGGGCGAAGCTGCTCAGACCTGTGAGTACGCGTCCAGGACGAACGACGATTAGTGAGCCAACTGACCATTTGCAAGCCAATGTTTGGACGAAAATAACGCGACTATTTCCGAAAAGGACGACTATCGAGGGACCACTGTACTTCAATTACACCATGGCAAATACAATACTTTCACCAAAATCACGTCTACACCAGTGGAAGGAGACAACTGTGGCTGAGATGTATCTTTTCTTTGCCACAATAATGCTTATGCCACATGTGTATAAGCACACTGTGAAATCATACTGGTCAACAGACCGCCTGATTGCAACCTCAGGTTTCAGTGATATAATGCGAGTGAATCGATTTGTGTTACTATTACGTATGCTTCACTTCTCAGACAAAACCAGGCCTGACAGAAACGACAGGTTATATAAGATTAGGAATGTGTTTGTGTATCTGAAAGAGAAATTCAATATGTAATTTTATCCCTTCAGGAAGCTTGTTATTGACGAGTCTTTGATTCTGTTCAAAGGAAGACTCTCTTTCAAGCAGTACATACCAAGCAAGAGGAAACGCTTTGGTATAAAGTTGTTTGTGCTTTGCGATTGCTATAGTGGTCTTGTATTGGATATTATTGTGTACACTGGAAGTTATACATTGCAAAATACCAAGAAGTTATTGGGCATCTCTGGTGATGTGGTTAGAACAATGATAGAACCATACCTTGGTAAGGGGCATATATTATATACTGATAACTGGTACAAGCCACTCACTCAGTGATTTTTTGCGAGTGAACATGACAGATGTGCGTGGCACAGTGCGTGCAAATCACAAACATATGCCCAGGTTTGACGCTGGCACTCGTAGAGGTGAGGTGCAGGCGTTTGCTGCCAATGACATCATGGCATTTCGGTGGCATGACAAACGAGATGTCACACTGTTGTCATCAGTTCACCCTAACGAAATGACAAACACTGGCAGGCAGCATAGAGACAGCAATGAACCCATTCTAAAACCTGCAGCTGTGATTGATTACACCCTCAATATGCGCTCAGTGGACAAATGTGACATGCAGATTGGGTTTGCTGATTGTGTTCACAAGAGTTATAAGTGGTACATAAAACTCTTTTTCCATCTTCTGGACATTTCCATGCTCAATCCTTATAATATGTATAAGATGAGGACCAGAAACAAACCACCATATGGTGAATTTTGTTTGTCTGTCATCAGACAAATAGTATTCAAGTATGTACCAAGGAGCAACACCTGCAATAGAAAACCACCCACTAAATTATCAACAACTATCTTCTCGTCTGAAGCATGGTGATCACTTCCTAATAAAACTGCCTGCTACTGCTTTCAATAAAAAGGCTCAGAAGAGGTGTTATGTCTGTGCATATACAAAAAAACGCCCACAACAACGCAGAGACACTCGTTTTATGTGTGAGGAGTTTAAAATACCACTGTGCATGACACCATGTTTCAAAGAGTTCCACAGGCTGCAGAACTTCTAGAAACATTCCCTGTGGCTGTATATGTGTATATAAAATATAGAAAAATAGTAATAAACAACATTTTATATCATTTGTGTAAACAACAATTATAAACAATATAGTGACAACAGTGCTTGTGCAGTTAGTGTGTAGTAAATAAAGAGAAAAAACTTACAAAATGGTGCTCATATTGGTCTCACAGGCCTAAAAGTTACTTGGAAAAAAAAAATAATAGAAAATACAGTGGACCCCCGCATAACGATTACCTCCGAATGTGACCAATTATGTAAGTGCGTTTGTACGTGTATGTTTGGGGGTCTGAAATGGACTAATCTACTTCACAATATTTCTTATGGGAACAAATTCGGTCAGTACTGGCACCTGAACATACTTCTGGAGTGAAAAAATATCGTTAACCGGGGGTCCACTGTAATACCAAAAAAACTAAATAAACTAAAACTGGGTGACCAGCAGTCGCCAATGTTACTGTATGCTGGTCATTTTCTGTCATCTTCACGTTTCCATATCTCGGTAAGTATTGATGGTAAAAAAAAAAAAAAAAAAATTCATAAGAAAAAATTATTTTTTTTTTTTTAGATTTTTCGACCCTGAGAACAAGTCTGGGAGAGGCCTGTCGGCCCTGAAAGGGTTAAATAAATAAATAAATCTACTCTTTGAATTATCCAAGTAATATTCACACTACACATTATAGGGAATGAAGCTTTTTTTTTTTTCAGATTAATCCAAGGACATTTACTAAAACTGGCCAGAATTTTTTGCAGCAGAGGTGGCAGCAACCAAAGGAAGTGGAAATATGTTTGAGAACAATTTTTTTTTTTTGACATGTTGAAAAAGTGCTAATTCTTGGCTTATTGTGCATAATTTAGCAATTAAACTTTATCATAGGTATGTAAACGAAAAACGACTTTTATGTGGGGTTAGCTACTATCCATGGTTTTGGGTATCCATGGTAGGTCTTGGAACATATCCCCTGCTGTTATAGATAGGGGGGGGACTCCTGTATTGTATTAAAATCACAGCAAACACAAAACCGGCAAGTGTTTCTTTCTCCTTCAAGGTATAACTAAATATTTTTATGAATGTATTAAAAAATTAAATAATAAAAGCTGCTCATTTTAAAACAATGAAAATAGGTAATGTCACCCAGTGGCAATATTAAGTTTGGATGGGGTACTACATACATGATCAATCACCCCATTCATAATTTCATCAGACTAGTACATGACCTTTCGGCAAGGAAAACTACACTCTTTTGTCACCCATAATAAGCAATTATTATACAGCATAAAAAAGTAATAATCTATTCAACAGTCACTTATTTTAATTATATATTTACTAATTTCTATTATTAGAAACCTTGTACAGTATACCAAATATCCCTCACTCACTACATAATAAATGCCAACAGTACTGGACTCTCTTGACTACCACACAATCTAACAAGAAATGGGCTTCATAACCCTTGTGCCAAGCAGCTAGGATTTTGGTAGTCCTTAGAATTAATTGTATAGTAAATTATATGAAAATGGAAATTCTATATTATAAAAAATTAACAAATGCAAATGCAAACATGGGACTGTCTTAAATCACTTAATGATTTGCACTGATATATATCCCAACAGCCGTGATAAATTTAAATATAAATGATTTGTTTAGGAAAGGATGACAAAAGTTGAAAAAATAACACTATACAAACCAGTAATGTTACCACTCACATAGAAATCAATTACAAAAATACACATGAAACAAAGTCCAGTTAGCCAGACTTGGAACTTGGAGGTGGAAAAATACAGTGACTGCACTCTAGTCATCTGAACTGTGATGTCAACATATTTTTGACAAGAAAGCAATTGAATGAATGATGAATGCATTTCCTCTCTTTTTGGGTTACTAACTTGGTGGGGGATGGTTGGTGTGTTAAAAAAATAGATTCATAAGAACTATAGACTAGCCCAATAAGAAAAACACAAACAAAGGTTATATTGTATATTCTATGATATTCTTTACTGGGTATTCTCAAATAATATCAAAGTCTTCTGGAAGAAACTGTAAAAATATTTTTAATTCACCTATTCCCTATTTACCATGCTAAACCAACACTCAGGCCACGAACTCAGACCAGTAAGCCTGGGGTACTTCTGCTGTGGCTTGTCTTAGATCCAGCAGCTGCCACATTCACATCAGTATCAATAGACACCATTGTCAATTGCACTGCCTGCCAATGGTTGATTCTTCTCACACCCCTACAATAGGGCCATGACACCAAAGAATGGGTCATATGCCAAATACCCAAGATGGGTGATTCTTCTCTGATGATTGCAACAACATCAACATTAATATTCAAGTACTTTTTCACATGTACAACATTTACAAAAATCAACAACTAAAAATATTGAAGATTAAGAATTGATACATTGGTATTGAAATACACAAAACCTAATTAAAAATAGAAGTTTGTCAGCTCTGTATGACGAACTACATTATCTGGTCTCGGAAGGAATTTTATATCTAACTTTTTCTATTTCAGAAATATGTTGTATGCAAAATAGAAGCCCCCTCAAAAAAAAAAAAAAAAAAAAAAAAAAAAAAAAAAAAAAAAAAAAAAAATTAACAGAATCAGAATAAAAACAGCATAGATTTGTATATTGAATCCAAAAGGCGGCCTCCAGAGATACACCCGAAAGACATCCCCCGGGAGACCGGAGAGGAATTGGAACATCCCCAGGCGACCCAGATTCCACGGCAAACTACAACACCACCAAGAACCTCAACGGAATGGGATGGACCCTGGTACCCCTTTCCCTACCTAGGAACTAGCGTGCCTGTGGGAAGAATCCCAAAGGCCAAAAAGAGGAAGGGAATAAGGGAAGGACGGGGAGGAGGAGGAAGAAAGGAAAAAGGGAGGATGGGATGGGGAAGGGGGGGATTGGGGGGTAATTAGGTTTGGTCTAAGGAACGAGACCAACAGGTCTAACTCCTCAGACCAAGAGCCTCTTCACCAAGCCAAGGAGCCCCCCTTGAAGAGGGTTAATTTATATAAAAAATACAGATATGTACATATACTAAGATAGTTTTGGCCTTTGTATATCTGAAAGTTTCATACCAGTAAAGGAATAACAATATCAGCATTAAGAAAGTTTTATATTTCCTTGTTTCTCCACACAGTGAACTGTTCTATTTCTCTCTTCATATTTTGCAATTTTTTTTTTCTTTTTGCCCTTGAAGGGTTATTTGATTTTTGTCAACCTTTGTCTAAAGTATTTACAGTACTCTACTATTATCAATGCCATTTTTTAAACCTTGAGAGGAAACTCAAATTTCCTAGTAAAGGGAATATCTGCTATAAGGACAAACTTAATTTAACTTGCTCAATTGACTCACCTTTGGGATAAAGTAGAATATACATTGATATACTCTAAATGAGGTTGCCTAAAAAGTTAAAATATACTCATTCCATATCAAAATAAACTGCTGACAGCAACATCAGCTGTAATGTATTCAAACAAAAATCATGGTGCTTTTTATAAATACAAGTGGATTAACTCCTTAATATAAAAATGGATTAATTAAAAATTACACATTGAGTTGTATCTTAAGCATCAACAAAGTTTGCAGCTCTGCAAAATAATGATACAGTATAATTATCACAAAGAAAATTAAGAAACAGAATAAGGGAGAATTATTATTATTATAATCAAAAAGAAGCGCTAAACCACATGGGCTATTTCTGAAGAAGCAATAAACCCAATATCATTAATTTTTTTTCTGACATCACATATCAGATAACCCTCCAACTGCAACATCCTCACTCTTCCTTCAGAGTACAGGCACTGCCCAGGAGGCCAAAAGGAGTGGTGGGGATACAACAGTTGGAAGGCAATTTGATCTGTGATATCAGCACACTTCTGGCAAGACAATGAATGATGGTGAATGTGTTTTCTTTTTTCGATCACCTGCCTTGGCAGAAAACAAGTTGGCCATCCCCCACTGAGGCAGGGTGACCCAAAAAGAAAGAAAATCCCCAAGAAGAAAATACTTTCATCATTCAACACTTTGACCTCACTCACACATAATCACTGTTTTTGCAGAGGTGCTCAGAATACAACAGTTCAGAAGCATATATGTATAAAGACACAACATATCCCTCCAAACTGCTAATATCCCAATCCCCTCTAAAGTGCAGGCATTGTACTTCCCATTTCCAGGACTCAAGTCCGGCTATATAAAAATAACTGGTTTCCCTGAATCCCTTCACTAAATATTACCCTGCTCACACTCCAACAGCTCGTCAGGTCCAAAATTCCATTCGTCTCCATTCACTCCTATCTAACACACTTGTGCATGCCTGCTGGAAGTCCAAGCCCCTCGCCCACAAAACCTCCTTTACCCCCTCCCTCCAACCTTTTCGAGGATGACCCCTACCTCGCCTTCCTTCCCCTACAGATTTATATGCTCTCCATGTCATTCTACTTTGATCCATTCTCTCTAAATGACCAAACCACCTCAACAATCCCTCTTCAGCCCTCTAATACTTTTATTAACTCCACACCTTTTCCTAATTTCCACACTCCGAATTTTCTGTATAATATTTACACCACACATTGCCCTTAGACAGGACATCTCCACTGCCTCCAACCACCTCCTCACTGCAGCATTTACAACCCAAGCTTCACACCCATTTAAGAGTGTTGGTACTACCATACTTTCATACATTCCCTTCTTTGCCTTCATAGATAATGTTTTTTGTCTCCACACAAACCTCAATGCACCACTCACCTTTTTTACTTCATCAAATCTATGATTAACCTCATCCTTCATAAATCCATCCCACGACACGTCAACTCCCATATATCTGAAAACATTCACTTCTTCCAAACTCCTCCTCTCCAATTTGATATCCAGTTTTTCTTTATCTAAATCATTTGATACCCTCATCACCTTACTCTTTTCTATGTTCACTTTCAATTTTCTACCTTTTCACACATTCCCAAACTTGTAGACAGCAACCGCCCAGGGAGGTACTACCATCCTGCCAAGTGAGTGTAAAACAGAAACCTGTAATTGTTTTACATGATGGTAGGATTGCTGGTGTCTTTTTTTTCTGTCTCATAAACATGCAAGATTTCAGGTACATATTGCTACTACTTCTTACACTTAGGTCACACTACACATACATGTATACAAGCATATATATACATACCCCTCTGGGTTTTCTTCTATTTTCTTTCTAGTTCTTGTTCTTATTTCCTCTTATCTCCATGGGGAAGTGGTACAGAATTCTTCCTCCATAAGCCATGCGTATTGTAAGAGGCGACTAAAATGCCGGGGGCAAGGGGTTAGTAACCCCTTCTCTTGTATAAATTACTAAATTTAAAAAGAGAAACTTCAGTTTTTTTTTTTTGGGCCACCCTGCCTTGGTGGGATACGGCCGGTTTGTTTAAAGAAAGATATATAAATAAACCATTTAGGACAAGTTAATTAATTTTGCTGCATTAAGAAAATCTCCAATTCACAGTACTTGCACACAATGTATAACAAACAATGTCTCAGTCCATATAAATGCTATTGGATAAAATCTACTGGATAGTTATTATTAGGTATTAAAAAAAAAAATGAATGCTTTGTGTAGAAGCAAAAATAAAAAAACTGTGTAATGTACTTTTAATTATACAAACTAGATTTAATTGTACAGCACTCATAAAAATGGGCAAGTGTTTTATTTTACCAAGAGAGCTTCAGTCCTTAAATTTTTATGGCCAGCTTTAGAAAAGAACTACCATGCAAGTTACAGTACATCATAATTCCTAAATCCTTTAGTTTCTAATGTATGCATGTGTGAGTGTGCATGAATGCATGCATGCATGTCTGTGCATCTGTGTGCATGTGCGTGACAAACTTGTATATAATTATGAGAAGCGCTAAACCCATAGGATTATACAGCACATATGGGGGGAGGGGAAGATATCCAGGCTCAATTCAGGGAACTGGAGCACAGATCAAATTCCCTAGATCAAAAGCCCCCTCACCAGTGTCAAGGAACCTCCCTTGAAGGGACAAATTTATAGCATATCCAGAAAACTTTAGATTTCAAAAGGTAATCTATTTCTGATATTAAAGTGATGCTCGCAAATGCTATTGCCATGATAAATTCCTCTATAATAGAATTATGTCACTGTAGCTAGACCTTCAGTTTTCAGGAGATCACTGTTAATAAATTACATGTACAGTACAGCTTCTAATCACTTAATGACAGAGTTCCATTCCTGAGACCAAGTGGTTAAACGAGTATGTCGCTAAGTGAAGAGAGGCTGCGGTTATAGGTGGTTCATAGATAGCAACTACCCAGGGAGGTACTACCATCCTTCCAAGTGAGTGTAAAATGGGAACCTGTAATTGTTTTACATAAGAACATAAGAAAGATGGAATACTGCAACAGGCCTACTGGCCCATCTGAGGCAGGTCCACTTCTACCGGCTTAAGCCAACGCCCTAACCTAGACAGGTCAAGTCTCATTCACTTGAGGAAGGAGCACGACATCTGACCTAGTAGCACAAGCTAGTCAGGTCCAACTCTCACCCCCTCATGTATTTATCTAACCTAAGTTAGACATCTTAGCTTCCATGACGGTACTCAGGAGCTTGTTCCATTCATTCACAACTCTATTACCAAACCAAAGCTTTCCTATATCCTGCCTGAATCTGAATTTTTCCAACTTAAAGCCATTGCTGAGAGTCCTGTCTAGGATATAAATTTATTTCATGCTATTTACATCCCCTTTATTTATTCCTGTTTTCCATTAATACTCCTCAATCATATCCCCCCTAATTCTATGCCTTTCTATAGAGTGTAGATTCAGGGCCCTCAGTCTATCCTTATAGGGAAGATTTCGGATACATGGGACCAACTTTGTCATCCTCCTTTGTACATTTTCCAGTGCATTTAAATCTATTCTTTAATACGGTGACCAGAACTGTGCAGCATAATCTAAATATAGATATAGAGATGACGAACAACCGGAGAACTTCTATTATTTATACTTCTTGATATAAAGCCAAGGATTCTGTTAGCTTTATTGCAAACACTTATGCACTATTGTCTTGATTTCAGATTACTGCTAACCAGAACTCCTAAATCCTTTTTGCAATCAGTAATATTAAGATCTACATTATTTAGTTATATATGGCATGGTTATTTTCCTGTCCAACATTTATTATAATAAAAAAAAAGCGCTAAATCTACAAGGGTCATACAGTGCTGCTGGGCAGGGAAGGATGCAGGGGTATTGGGTAGCAAGAGGGAGAGCAATGATTATTAGGTCATGGAGTGCTGTAGGGTAGGGGTAGAGGGTAGCAAGAGACTGAGGTAGAAAGGGCTGTGAGTAGTACGAGAGGCATTATCAGAGTTTGTGCAGTAAATCAGTTGCTGTCAAAAAGTCAATCAGAGTGTCTGGGTTAAAGGAGGATCCATCAGCAAGAAGGGAAGGTAAAGTAAGGGCAGTAGAGCAGTGACGACGACGGAGGTAAATTCTACGTGCTCGCTGATAGTGTGCAGTCCAACAGAATGTGGCTAACAGAAACTGGAACCTGACAATTCTCGGAGTGGAACAGGGCGCCTCTCCACGAGATACCTACAAGTAAGACGAGTGTGGCCGATGCGAAGACGGGAGAGAATAGTCTCCCAACCTTGACACTGATGATAAGAAGACTGTCAGAATCCTTTACTCGGTTTAATAGAATGTAGTTTATTATGGAGCAGATCAGACCAACATAGTCGCCAATGGGTGCGAAGGTGAGTAGCAATTACAGTAAAATAGTGAATGGAATACCTCTATATCAAACTGGGAGGTCATGTACTGCTGACTGTGCAGCAGTGTCTGCCTGTTCATTGCCCTATACGTCAACGTGACTGGGGACCCAACAAAAAAACTATCTTTGAGCTTGCTAGAGATATGGCATAACCAAAGTTAGATACAAAGAACAAGGGGCTGAGGTGTATCAAATTTTTGTATAGCCTGTAAAGCACTAAGGGAGTCTCAAACGACCACAAATGGTGACACAGGCATAGATGCAATACGGATAAGTGCTATGAGAATAACACACAATTCAGCCATAAAACTGCTAGCCGGGGATAATAAATACCCTCGCACGACACTGTCCAGAAACAATGCTGTGAATCCAACGCCGTCAGAAGACTTGGAACCATCTGTGTACACTGTGATGGCATGAGAATGAGATCGGAGTGGTTAAGAAAAAGAGCGAGAAGCCACCATAGGCAGCTGGGCTTTCGTGCATGGCAGTGGGAAAGAACAGACACAAACCGTTGGAACTTCCAAAGGGGGTAGGAAAAAGTGAGATACTATATGAACATTGAAAGTGATAACTGAAGAGACAAGAGTGAATGTAGGTGAAGAGAAAAGAGATGGAGTAAACAGGGGAGACGAACATATAGAGATACAGATTTATACATCCTCCAAGTCAACCTATTTCGCTCCATCCTCTCTAAATGACCAAACCACCTTAACAACCCCTCTTCAGCCTTCTGAATAATACTTTTAGTAACTTCACACCTCCTAATTTTCACACTACAAATTCTCTGAATAATATTTACACCTCACATTGCCCTTACACACAACATTTCCACTGCCTCCAGCTGCCTCCTTGCTGCAGCATTCATAACACTTGCTTGCACCCACATAAGAGTGTTGGTACCACTATACTCACGTACATTACCTTCTTTACCTCCATGGATGACTTTTGTACAACCCCTCTTCAGCCTTCTGAATACTTTTTAGTAACTTCACACCTCCTAATTTCCACATTACAAATTCTCTGAATAATATTCACCTCACATTGCCCTTATACACGACATTTCCACTGCCTCCAGCCTCCTCCTTGCTGCAGGATTCATAACCCTTGCTTGCACCCATGGTACCACTATACTCACGTACATTACCTTCTTTGCCTCCATGGATGACTTTCTTTTGTACAAGCATATATATACATACCAATCTGGGTTTTCTTCTATTTTCTTAATAGTTCTTATTCATCTTTATTTCCTTTTATCTCCACGGGGAAGTAGAAACGAATTCTTCCTCCTTAACCCTTAAACGGTCCAAACAGATCGACGTTCAAATTCGTATTGCTACAAAAGTAGATCTACTTTTTTTTTACATATTTTCAAATATAACAAAAAAAAATGTACATAAAAGTTTTTTTACACGTTTTCAAATGTAAAACAAAAAAGAAGATCGACATTTTTTTTTACATACTTTCAGATGTTGAAAAAATGTATATATACGTTTGGACCATTTAAGGGTTAAGCCATGTGTGTCGTAAGAGGTGACTAAAATGTCAGGAGCAAGGGGCTAGTAACCCGTTCTCCTGTATAAAATACTAAATTTAAAAAGAATTTTTTCTTTAGGGTTACTCTGCCTCGGTGGGTGATGGCCACCGAGTTAAAAAAAAAAATAAAAAAGTTATTTGAAGGAAAAATCCTTTAACTATTTTACAAACAAATATAGAGCAAAACAGCTTTTCATATACAGTATATAAAAAAGTGATCCAGGAACAAAAAGAATATATACAATAATAAAATATTTTGCAATACTGTATAATATTCCAAAGTTGCATCAACCTAAAGAGGGTGAAAATGACAATCTTCAACTAAGTGGCAAAGTACTAACATTTATGTAGTGTTAATTCATCCTGTACCAAAATCACTAATAATGATGCCAAAAAGAATGATCTTATACTACAAAACAGAATAATACACTAAATTAGCAAGCACTATACAACCATTTGCTGAACAAAAAAAAAAAAAAAAGCAATAATACTGTATTTGTAATAAAACAAAATCTATGCTATATAAGTGGTGGCAAAACATTTCTTGCACAAACTACATGAATAATGAAACTTGCTTAACCAGTTCTTATATAAAAAAAAATTTCAACCATTGTACAAGTAGAAAAAGTAATTTAGGTAAAATATTTAACCACATTCTTTTATACAGTACATCCTATTAAAGCTATCTAATGCACATCTCAAAACTTTACTGAAATTTATCTTGAGTTTGACTAATCTTCAGTAAATTTTTGTACACAGTACTTCAACCCTTTCAGGGTCCGTCCGAAAATCTATGGCTTTGAAGCCTGGGTCCAACCTGTAGATGTACGCCATGAGCTCAGCTCACTCAGATAACCTGTGAGCGGTAAATTTGGGTCTAGACATGAGAGAACACATCTATGTGGTAAGTGTGCACCACATAAAACAAATCCTGCAGCACACAGTGCATAATGAGAGAAAAACTGCGACCGTAATTTTGAATTAAAATAGCGATTTTGCGGAGTTTTTGCGTATGTTGTTTACAGTTGTATTTGCGATTTTTTGATCTCCTTTGATAGAATGGAATATATATTACAAAAACAGAGATGATTTTGATTGGCTTTAGTACTGAAAATGGCTTGAAAAATGAGTTAAAAGTAGCAGAAATGTTCGATTTTTGCCGATGTTCAAGAGTAAACAAGTTGTTACAAGTCTAATATGCGTCAGCTGGTGGGTCTAATATACATTCACGAATGTGCTGATATTATCTATACAATTATTACAACATTGTATAACAGTAAATCTATTTTTTGGTGTGAATAAAAATTCATTATGTGAATAAAAAATCAAAATGGAATTCATTTGTAAAGCCTGAAAACATAACTAATGAACAGAGGAAATGTTGGTTAAGTGGCAGGAATGCCTGCATTGTTTATTCTGGACTATTTTGAAGTTGGAATATTTTGAACTTTGAGTTAAATTGGCCAAATTACCAATATCCAATCACTTTATTGGGTAGTTGAAACAGTTGACTGGGCAATTTCTTGTGCTCAGTTGATAAAATAGAGGTAATACTAGTGAAATAGCTAAGAATTTAGTAGACTGGAAGAATGTAATTGGCCTAAAATGGGAGCCAAAGTTGGCAAAATCGCCAATGCATAAATAGCGCTGAAGCATCAAAATTTGCAAGAGCATAATTTCGTCAATTTTCCATCAAATGTCATACTTTTTGGCTTCATTACCTTCAGAAAAAGTTTCATTACCATTTCATAACAAAAAATAACAAAATTTTTTTTTTGAAAATTCTTGGACCCTGGCTATCACTCTGAGATTTGGCCTATGGACCCTGAAAGGGTTAATATATAGTACAGTGGAACCTCAAATTTCGAATGTATCGCTCATAGAACTCTTTGAAAATCGACCGCTTTTCTCGAACCTACTTTGTCCCTATTATCGAACTGGCCCCTATTTTCAAACTGCCGGGTACCAGACCTGTCCACCAGCCCGCTTTGTCCGTGTCTCCTCGCAGGCGCCGTGAGCCAGTCTGGCTTTGTTGATGCTTGAGTGAACACTAACCTGTGCTCTCATTCAAACATTTTACGATTAATTCATTGTGTTTAGTGCTTGTGGGACTGTGAAATAAGCTACCATGGGCCCAAAGAAACTTGCTAGTGGTACCCCTGTGGTAAAGAAAGTGAGAAACACCATAGATGTGAAGAAGGAAATAATACAGAAGTATGAGAATGGTGAGAGACTTGTTAAGCTTGCCAGGATGTATGGGGAAAAACAAGTCGACTATTGCTTCTATCCTGGCAAAGAAAGAACAAATCAAGGAAGCTGATGTTGCAAAACCAAAAAAAGACCACAGACAATCGATTAGGTTGAGAAGTTGTTGCTGGTTTGGATCAAAGATAAAGAGATGGCAGGCGATAGCATTTCAGAGACGATTATTTGTGAAAAGGCAAGGAAGTTGCATGCCTACCTGGAACAGAAAACTCCTGGAACCAGTGCTAATAGTGAATTTAAGGCCAACAGAGTCATCTTTGCAACAATTTCAGTGACAAAACCATGTCCCATTTTAGGGAAATCTTAAAGAGGTGCCAGAAACAGAAGACTGTGGACAGTTATTTTGTGAGACAGGGGTCCAGAGACACTCAAGCTGGTCCGAGTGGCATTAAAAGACAGAGAAGGGAAGTAACCTCAGAGAGGGCTTTGATACCTAAAGTCCTTATAGAGGGAGGATTCCCCTTCTAAACACTAACCCCAACTCCCTCTCTCCTCCTCCCTATCTTCCAGATGCCATCACCAATCTTCAATAAAGGTAAGTAAAAATTTTATTTTACATGTTTTTTTTTTATTTTTTATTATCACACTGGCCAATTCCCACCAAGGCAGGGTGGCCCGAAAAAGAAAAACTTTCACCATCATTCACTCCATCACTGTCTTGCCAGAAGGGTGCTTTACACTAGTTTTTAAACTGCAACATTTACACCCCTCCTTCAGTTTGCAGGCACTGTACTTCCCATCTCCAGGACTCAAGTCCGGCCTGCCGGTTTCCCTGAACCCCTTCATAGATGTTACTTTGCTCACACTCCAACAGCACGTCAAGTATTAAAAACCATTTGTCTCCATTCACTCCTATCAAACATGCTCATGCATAAAAAACCATCTCCCCCGGCCGGGATTGAACCTGCGGTCATAGAGTCTCAAAACTCCAGCCCGTCGCGTTAGCCACTAGACCAGCTAGCCACAATAAGATTCATCCAACTAGGTATATTTCTACACCATAGGAAGGTTAGCACAGGCACCTCTGTGACCATAAATGCAAGTTTTTACAGACGAATCTCCAGCTAGCGTGGCCGTGACGAACTCTAGCTCAAGTCCCTTCACTGCCGTCAACATGACCCGGGGGTATGGTTTGTTTGCAATCGTGTCATTACGATTTCTTGAGTCACGCTGACGGCAGTGATGGGAACCTGACTAGAACTTCCGTCACTCGGCCAACGCTTTCTAGGAAATTCTCCTAAAATACTTGCATATTGTGTCATCAGAGTCCCTGTGCTACCTCTCTACATGGTGTAAAACTATACCTAGTTGGATGAATCTCATTGTGGCTAAGCTGTCTATTCTAAACGCGATCTGCTGGAGTTTATCAGAACTCTATGACGCGGGTTCAATCCCAGCCGGTATGTTTGTTTCAATCGTGTCATTAACGATTTCTTGAGTCACGCTCAAGCATGCATGCTCAAATCCAAGCCCCTCACACACAAAACCCTCCTTTACCCCCTCCCTCCAACCTTTCCTAGGCCAACCCCTACCACGCCTTCCTTCCACTACAGACTGATACACTCTTGAAGTCACTCTGTTTCGCTCCATTCTCTCTACATGTCCGAACCACCTCAACAACCCTTCCTCAGCCCTCTGGACAACAGTTTTGGTAATCCCGCACCTCCTCCTAACTTCCAAACTACGAATTCTCTGCATTATATTCACACCACACATTGCCCTCAGACATGACATCTCCACTGCCTCCAGCCTTCTCCTCGCTGCAACATTCATCACCCATGCTTCACACCCATATAAGAGCGTTGGTAAAACTATACTCTCATACATTCCCCTCTTTGCCTCCAAGGACAAAGTTCTTTGTCTCCACAGACTCCTAAGTGCACCACTCACCCTTTTCCCCTCATCAATTCTATGATTCACCTCATCTTTCATAGACCCATCCGCTGACACGTCCACTCCCAAATATCTGAATGCATTCACCTCCTCCATACTCTCTCCCTCCAATCTTTCATCACCTAATATTTTTGTTATCCTCATAACCTTACTCTTTCCTGTATTCACTTTTAATTTTCTTCTTTTGCACACCCTACCAAATTCATCCACCAATCTCTGCAACTTCTCTTCAGAATCTCCCAAGAGCACAGTGTCATCAGCAAAGAGCAACTGTGACAACTTCCACTTTATGTGTGATTCTTTATCTTTTAACTCCACGCCTTTTGCCAAGACCCTCGCATTTACTTCTCTTTATATGTTTATTTAAATTTATTAATAATTGTACACTATATTTGTTGTGTGTATGTAAAACTATAATGTAATACTATCTATAAAACGTATTTTTTTGTGAATATTTTTGGGTTTCTGGAATTGATTAATTGTATTTCCATTATTTTTTATGAAAATATTGCTTTGCCTTTCAAACTTTTCAAATTTAAAACTAGCTCCTGGAATGGATTAAGTTCGAAATTTGAGGTTCCACTGTACACATAACTGGTATATTCTGCAAGCTATGGAGTGACGTTAGAAATATTTACAATCACACCAGTACCTTGCACAAGCATGCAAGTGCATCTGCATATGTTATTAAACAGATTTAAACATAGAGCACTATAAATAATAGCAACCATAAAATAAAAGTCAAATGAAAATAAAATAAAAATCAAACCAAAAAACTAAAAATCACAGATATATAGGTACAAATTAGTTTGTGAATAAAAGTGGTTACTTCCAATGAATAAGATTTAATGGAAATTTTTTATTAATATCAACATACAAAACTAGCCAATGTAAAAGTCAAAAACAAGCGTGCACAATCAAACAACTTGCAAGCAACAAGCACACTAATGCATCATCTTTATGTCCCCACCAGAGGCTCGCAGGAGAGTATTTCTAGAAAATCTCTTCCCAATAGTTTCTGTGTGGAAACCTATCTTGATGAGAGCTTCATGGTCAAGAATCTTGCGTCCATCAAATATAAATGCAGGCTTTTTCATGACTGACAGCATCTTTCTGTAGTCATAACTCTGGAATATTAATAGCATATTTTAGTTAATCAAAACTTCCAAATTTTCACAAAGACAAATGTAAAAGTTATTAAATATACTTGTTAAAAGTAATGTTTTAATGGTGTGATCAATCTGACTATAGATTCAACTTAAAATATATAATCAATCATTATACTGAAACACTAAATGAATGAATGAACTATCTAAATCACAGTTAAGTGGTCTCTAACTTACTGTAAGCAACATATTACAGGAATTTAAGATTCTCAAAGCAACAGTTTCTTTTATTTTTGCTACATTTTATATATAAAAAATGCACCTATTTATCAAGATATTTTGTACATCAGATTGTGCATGGCTGTTGTGCAATACAGTGGAACCTCGGTTTTCATATGCCCTAGTTTGTGTCTAAAACTATAGTTTTTTTTTTTAACGAGTCAGCTGTCTCCCACCGAGGCAGGGTGACCCAAAAACAAAAAAATTCCCAAAACGAAAATACTTTCATCATCATTCAACACTTTCACCTCACTCTCACATAATCACTGTTTTTGCAGAGGTGCTCAGAATACAACAGTTTAGAAGCATATACATATAAAGATACACAACATATCCCTCCAAACTGCCAATATCCCAAACCCCTCTTTTAAAGTGCAGGCATTGTACTTCCCATTTCCAGGACTAAAGTTCGGCTATATAAAAATAACCAGTTTCCCTGAATCCCTTCACTAAATATTACCCTGCTCACACTCCAACAGCTCGTCAGGTCCTAAATACAATTTGTCTCCATTCACTCCTATCTAACACGCTCACACACTCTTCCTGGAAGTCGAAGCCCCTCGCCCACAAAACCTCCTTTACCCCCTCCCTTCAACCTTTTCGAGGACAACCCCCTACCTCGCCTTCCTTCCCCTACAGATTTATACGCTCTCCATGTCATTCTACTTTGATCCATTCTCTCTAAATGACCAAACCACCTCAACAATCCCTTTCAGCCCTCTGACTAATACTTTTATTAACTCCACACCTTTTCCTAATTTACACACTCCGAATTTTCTGCATAATATTTACACCACACATTGCCCTTAGACAGAACAGCTCCACTGCCTCCAACCGTCTCCTCGCTGCAGCATTTACAACCCAAGCTTCACACCCATGTAAGAGTGTTGGTACCACTATACTTTCATACATTCCCTTCTTGCCTCCATAGATAATGTTTTTTTTGTCTCCACATATACCTCAATGCACCATTCACCTTTTTTTCCTTCATCAATTCTATGATTAACTTTTTTTTTTTTTTTAACAAGTCGGCCATCTCCCACCGAGGCAGGGTGACCCAAAAAGAAAGAAAATCCAAAAAAGGAAAATACTTTCATCATCATTCAACACTTTCACCTCACTCACACATAATCACTGTTTTTGCAGAGGTGCTCAGAACACAACAGTTTAGAAGCATATACGTATAAAGATACACAACATATCCCTTCAAACTGCTAATATCTCGAACTCCTCCTTTACAGTGCAGGCATTGTACTTCCCATTTCCAGGACTCTAGTCTGGCTATACAAAAATAACCAGTTTCCCTGCATTCCTTCACTAAATATTACCATGCTCACACTCCAACAGATCGTCAGGTCCCAAATACCATTCGTCTCCATTCACTCCTATTGAACACTCTCATGCACGCCTGCTGGAAGTCCAAGCCCCTCGCCCACAAAACCTCCCTTACCCCTTCCTTCCAACCTTTTCGAGGACGACCCCTACCCTGCCTTCCTTCCCCTACAGATTTATATGCTCTCCATGTCATTCTACTTTGATCCATTTTCTCTAAATGACCAAACCACCTCAGCAACCCCCTTCAGCCCTGTGACTAATTTAGTAACTCCACACCTCCTAATTTCCACACTCCGAATTTTCTGCATAATATTTACATTACACATTGCCCTTAGACAGGACATCTCCACTGCCTCCAACCGCCTCCTCGCTGCTGCATTCACAACCCAAGCTTCACACCCATATAGGAGTGTTGATACTACTATACCTTCATACATTCTCTTCTTTGCTTCCATAGACAATGTTTTTTGTCTCCACATATACCTCAACGCACCACTCACCTTTTTTCCCTCATCAATTCTATGATTAACCTCATCCTTCATAAATCCATCTGCTGACACGTCAACTCCCAAGTATCTGAAAACATTCACTTCTTCCATACTCCTCCTCCACAATTTAATATCCAATTTTTCTTTATCTAAATCATTTGATACCCTCATCACCTTAATCTTTTCTATGTTAACTTTCAACTTTCTACCTTTACACACACTCCCAAACTCATCCACTAACCTTTGCAATTTTTCTTTAGAATCTCCCATAAGCACAGTATCATCAGCAAAAAGCAACTGTGTCAATTCCCATTTTGTATTTAATTCCCCATAATTTAATCCCACCCCTCTCCCAAACACCCTAGCATTTACTTTTACAACCCCATCTATAAATATATTAAACAACCATGGTCACATTACACATCCCTGTCTAAGACCTACTTTTACCGGGAAGTAGTCTCTCTCCCTTCTACACACCCTAACCTGAGCCTCACTATCCTCATAAAAACTCTTTACAGCATTTAGTAACTTACCACCTATTCCATATACTTGCAACATCTGCCACATTGCTCCCTATAAAATGTATTTTTTTTAATATTTCCCATAAGAAATAATGTAAATTAATTAATCTATTCCAGACACAAAAATATTAACAAATTTTTATAGAAAATAACTATAGTTTTTACAAAGAATGAGGTTAATCATAGAATTGATGAAGGAAAAAAGGTGAGTGGTGCATTGAGGTATCTATGGAGACAAAAAAAAGTTATCCATGGAGGCAAAGTATAGCAGTACCAACACTCTTATATGGTTGTGAAGCTTGGGTTGCAAATGCTGCAGCGAGGAGGCAGCTGGAGGCAGTGGAGATGTCCTGTCTAAGGGCAATGTGTGGTGTAAATATTATGCAGAGAATTCGGAGTGTGGAAATTAGGAGGTGTGGAGTTACTAAATTAGTCACAGGGCTGAAGAGGGGTTGCTGAGGTGGTTTGGTCATTTAGAGAATGGATCAAAGTAGAATGACTTGGAGAGCGTATAAATCTGTAGGGAAAGGAAGACGGGGTAGGGGTCATCCTTGAAAAGGTTGGAGGGAAGGGGTATAGGAGGTTTTGTGGGCGAGGGGCTTGGATTTCCAGCAAGCATGTGCGAGCGTGTTAGATAGGAGTGAATGGAGACGAATAGTTTTTTGGGACCTGACGAGCTGTTGGAGTGTGAGCAGGGTAATATTTTGTGAAGGGATTCAGGGAAACTGGTTAGTCGGATTTGAGTCCTGGAAATGGGAGGTACAATGCCTGCACTTTAAAGGAGGGGTTTGGGATATTGGCAGTTTGGAGGGACTTCTGAACTACTGTATCTGAGTACCTCTGCAAAGACAGGGATTATGTATGAGTGAGGTGTAAGTGTTGAATGATGATGAAATTATTTTCTTTTTGGGGATTTTCTTTCTTTTTGGGTCACCCTGCCTCGGTGGGAGACGACTGACGTAATAAAAAAACAACTATAGTTTTACATACAAACTAGGGCATACAAAAACCGAGGTTCCACTGTACTTGTTAACGTATTCTTTGTTGGGAGGAATTTTAATAAGTGATCGTTGATATTTAGTTTTGTTAAGTTTTGGAAATGCAGTTAAAATATAATTACAGCTACAGATGGAAAGCTGCTGAGGTGTGGATGGTGGGAGGAGTCACATGAACCAATGAGACACCTGAGAGGATGAGACACCTGGAAGTTTGTTCTAAATGTTCCTTGCATTGCCATGCTTGTTTTTCTGAACTCCAACTACTTTATGGCTTAATGGTTATTGCAAAATTATTTTTATATGCTAACATGGCTTTTAATAACAGTGCTTTAGGATGCAGAATATGCAAGAGAAATAATGAAGTATCAATCAGTGAGCAGTAATGAGTGTGTCCAATGAAGAAACTTAACAGGGATTCTGATAAAGAAAAGTGAACACCAATTTTGGAGGAGGGCTTTAATTAAAGTACACTATAGTACAGTTTTATTAGTCTCACAGCATTCAAAGAGTAATTTACTCAACAGGTCATTTGTGAATATCATTGCAAAAGACAGTTATATATCTATGACCACTCAAACAACCAGTTTAACATTATTTGTTAAAGCCTTCTCAACAATCAATTACAGTACCATCATTTCCCCCTTCTGTTACATCTCCCAGGCCACCAAATGCTCATAAATGCTATGCTGTGCGAAATGAACTTTATCAAGCCCTGTTACATTACATCAAGTTTTGAGATAAACTTTAAAAAATTCATAGTAGTATATAAACATTTAGGGCACTGTTAAAAAGCCCATGATTATGAAAATCCTAGAAACAAATTTCCTGAACATACCTTGACAAAATGATAGCCAATCAATGACAAGATAACAAGATAAAGTAAAGGTACCAACTCACGATAAATTCATCCCATTCAGTGAGCACAACAATAGCATGGGCATCCTTGACAGCTTCATAAGGATCAGAGTAGATATTTATCAGCTGTTGGACACGTTCTGGGTCACTTGTTACTGCTGCACTTGTCAGATCATGCTCAATTTGTTTACACTCCACCTGAAGATAAAATATAATATTAGGTTAATTCAAGCAGTGTGTGTTACTTGAGCACTTCAAATTTAAGAAAAGATACGAGGTAGGTGCAATAATGGCAGTTGCCTAACAGAAGGCAAAATATTGCTGTGGATGGAATGGAAGTTTAAGACTAATTGGGATAAGTAAACGACATAGATAAATTACTTCTATGTATAAATTAATTACTCATATAACTTCTCTATATTCCAAGTCTATGGTATTCTCCTTGCTACTACTAGTGTGCAATATTAATTATGCAACAGTGCTTCTTGCAGTCTGTTGTAATTTTTTTGATAAATGTCTTATAAACATTCGAATAACCATTTTTCTATTACTAAATATGCCTCACATGGCTTACCTCAGACATAACTACCTAGCAGATATGTACATTCCTCCACAATACAAGCCCTCACAGTAATTATATGTACCATATGCCCAGTCATAAATTTTTAATGGTCATTTTTATAAAACAAACTATTGCTTTGTACAACATAAAGTTAAGTCACCTTAGGGTCATATATGTTGAGTCGAGCACTCTCTTCTAGTAAGTGAGAACATACATAAATGGCAGGACTTTCCCTTGTATCTCCAGTGTTCTTTTTGAAAGCAAAGCCAAACACAGCTAATGTTTTATCTGTTACAGTATTGAAAAGGCACTCAACAATCCGCTTAGCAAATCTGTAAGAAATCAACAGTGATTTCAGTTTCTAAAAATGAAAATGTTTACTAATCATGATAACCATCACATAACAGATATGTACAGTGTACAATGATAATGAATTTCCAAAAAAGGAATAAAAAATAGCTTGAGAATTTGAGTATACATTAATTATGATAACTATACAACTTCTGACAATCTGCATGAAATACAGAACTAAAGAAGTATCTTATTTAATCATCTTTTTGCAATTTATAATACTGTATTTCTCCATGGGGAAGTGAAGAATAATCCTTCCTCCACAAGCCATGTGTGTTGTAGGAGGCAACTAAAATGCCAGGAGCAAGGGGCTAGCAACCCCTCCTGTATAATTTACTAAATGTAAAATGAAGAAAAACATTCTGAAAGTTTCTTCTTTTTTGGATTACCCTGCCTTTGTGGGAGATAGCTGGTGTGGATTTGACCCGAGCCTTATTATCCTCATAAAAACTCTGCTTTCAGTAACCTACCTCTTACTCCATACATTTGCAACATCTGCCATATTGCTCCCTATCTACCCTATCATATGCCTTTTCCAAATCCATTAATGCAACAAAATCCTTTTCACTCTTATCTAAATATTATTCACCTATATGTTTCACCATACATTCTTGGTCTACACACTCCCTACCCTTCCTAAAGCCTCCTTATTCATCTGCAATCCTGCACTCCATCTTACTCTTAATTTTTTCTATAATAACTCTACCATACACTTTACCAGATTTACTCAAGATTATTCCCCTATAATTTTTACACTTTGTTTTGTCCCCTTTACCTTTATACAAAAGAACTATGCATGCTCTCTGCCAATCCCTAGGTACCTTAACCTCTTCCATACATTAAATAAAAGCACCAACCACTCCAAAACTATATCCCCACCTGTTTTTAACATGTTTATCTTTATCCCATCAAGCCCAGCTGCTTTACCCCTTTCATTCTACCCACTGTCTCTCACACCTCCCCTACACTCACAATTGGCTCTTCCCCACTCCTACAAAATATTATACCTCCCTGTCCAATGCATGAAATCACAGCTTCCCTATCTTCAACATTTAACAGTTCCTCAAAATATTACCTCCGTCTTCCCAATAGCTCTGTCTAATAACTCTCCTCTTATTTTTAACTATTATATCCATTAATTTCTTAGGCTTTCTCAACTTATTAATCTCCAAAACTTTTTCTTATTCGCAACAAAATTTGTTGATAGCAACTCGCCCACTCTCACAGTTGCTCTCCTACTGCATTCCTTCACCACTCTCTTAACCTCTCTTTCTCTCCATATACTCCTCCCTCCTTGTATCACTTCTACTCTGTAAAAACCTCTCACATGCCAACTTTTTATCTCTTACTACTCTCTTTACCTCATCATTCCACCAATTGCTCTTGTTCTCTCCCACACCCACTTTCCTGTAACCACAAACCTCTGCTGAACACTAACATTGTATTCTTAAATCTACCCCATACCTCTTCAACCTCATTGCATATGCTCTCACTAGCCCACCTTTCTTGCAACAGTTATTTATATCTTACCCTAACTGCCTCCTGCTTTAGTTTATAAACCTTCATTTCTCTCTTACTTGCTGATTATCTCTTTGTATCCCATCTAGCTTTTACTCTCACTGTTGCTACAACTAAAAAATTATCTGATATATCTGTGGTCCCCTCTATAAACATGCACATCCTGAAGTCTACCCATCAGTCTTTTATCTACCAATACATAGTCCAACAAACTACTATCATTACACCCTATATCATATACTGTATACTTACTTTTCCTGTTTTTCGGTGGGAGACAGCAGACTTGTTGAAAAAAAAAAAATGTATTACCTATTACCAAACCCCTTTCTAAACAAAGTTCAATCAAAGGCTCCCCATTACCATTTACACCTAGCACCCCAAACTTACCTACTATACCCTCTCTGTTTCCCCCAATTTAGCATTTAGGTCCCCTACCACAATTATTCTCTCACTTGGTTCAAAAGTTCCTAAACACTCACTTAACATCTCCCAAAATCTCTCTCTCTTTCTTCTACACTCCTCTCTTCTCTGAATGTATACACACTTATTCCTCTTCTTCTTTCAACAAACTAGCCATATTCCACCAAGCCAGGATGGCCCAAAAAGAAAAAAGAAAGATTCATCTTTTAAATTTAGTAATCATATACAGGATAAGGGGTTACTAGCCCCTTGCTCCTGGCCTTTCAGTCGCCTCTTACAACATGTATGGCTTACTGAGGAAGAATTCTGTTCTGCTTCCCCATGGAAATGAGCAGAAATAAACAAGAACTATTACAAAAATAGAAGAAAACCCAGAGGGGTGTGTATGTATATGTTTGTACATGCATGTTTAGTGTGACCTAAATGTAAGCAGAAGTAACAAGATGTGCCTGAAACCTTGCATGTATATGAGACAGAAACAAGACGCCAGCAACATGAGGATGTTTAGGACTTCAAGATAGAGCTTCCCTGCTTATAGAACAATTAACATATTTCTACGATTACGCAATATTTCTTATTCTCATCACTTATTATAACCCAATTTTTTTGCATCTAACCCTTATTGTAATCCACGTACTCCTTGCATTTATACACTTATATTCCCTCTTCTCCTTCCATAACTGATCATTCAACATTATTGCTACCCCTTCTGCAGGTCTAAGTCTCTCAAATACTCTGGACTTAATCCCATTTATTACTCCCCCCCACCGAAACTCCCCAATTCCCTTCGGCTTTGTTTCACTTAGAGCAAGGACATCCAACTTCTTTTCATTCATAACACTGGCAATCATCTCTTTTTTTTTTATCTGCACTACATCCATGCACATTCAAATATCCCAGCTTCATAGTTTTTTTCTTATTTTTAGTAATTTATACAGAAGGGGATACTAGCTCATTGCTCCTCTCATTTTAATCGCCTCTTACGACATGCTTGGCTTACAGAGGAAAGTCTTTTCCACTTCCCCATGGAGATGAAAGGAAATAAAAAGAATAAGATCTATTTAGAAAAATATGAAAAAATTCTGATCAGTGTCTATACATGTACTGATACACATATATGTATTGTGCCTAAGTGTAAGCAGAAGTAGCAAGACGCACCTGTTTTCTTGCGCATTCATGAGACAGAAAAAGACACCAGCATTCTTACCATTGTGTAAAACAATTACAGGTTTCTATTTCACATGCATCTGGCAGGACAGTAGTACCTCCCTGAGTGACTGCTGTCTACCAACCTACTACCTATTATTATTTGGGGGGGAAGTGCTACACCTATTAAGATCACATAGCACTGAGGAAATGGGAGGCAATCAGGATTGATCCAAGAAAGGATAGGGTAGGTCTAATTTCTTGCAGCAAGAGCCTCACTACAACTGAGGAACCTCCCTCAAGGGTATATAACAAATTTAGGCAGTTAATAAAAAAATTATGCAATTCCCTACCTCTTCTACTTACTGTATATATGTCACAGTAACACTTTTCCTTATGTCATTAGCCCAAGAGCACAACCCATGAATAGTGACTGTTCTTGGTTGGCATTACTTTAACAGTTCACATGTTTACAGGCTACACTGTTGCCTATTTCAAACTTCTATTGAAGATAATATTTCTAAAAGCAAAAAAAAAAAAAAAAAAAAAAAAAAAAAAAAAAAAAAAAAAAAAAAAAATTATCTTGAATGTAACTCAATTATAGCATGGAAATCTATGGAAAAATGGGCACCACTACCAACAATTTTTCTAGAATGGATCTTTGTTGCTGCAAAGGGAAATAACTTGAGACTGTGAAAAGTTGTCCCTGAATTCATTCACTCTCTACCTAAGAAAGATATATGTACATTTTGCAGATTAGGGGTTATAATACTGCTCTGATATTACATTAATATGGAGAAAAAAGCCATTCTATGGCTAGTTTTAATTTTGTGCTCCAGTGCCAGGCCTAAATTTCACACTGCTGTAAACAAATAGTTTATTTCTTTGCAAAGGTTACAGTGTTTGTACCTATCAATACGTTATATAATGTATTCAAAGAAAGTCACTAACGTGCCGAGGCATTTTGGGCAGTAATAAATTCATAAAAAGTTGAACAAACAGGTCTCTACAAAATACATACAGTACATTGAATCAATAATAATAAATCAGGAAAAATATTTAAAGAAAGTTAAAACTTTTTTCATTTTCTAGATGTGAAGATCAAAATAATGGCTGAAAATATGATAAGATAATTCTTTATGTTTTCTTAATTCAAGAAGTCAATGAAAATCAGTTGTTTTGCATAATGATAAGGCTACATCATAAAAGGGTTAATAAGAAAAAGGCACACTAAAGAAAAACAGTAGTAGGGAACTCTCCCCAAAAACTGATATTTGATGAATAGCATTAGAAAAATTAATTTTTTTAAGAAATGAAGCATGCCGTAATTTGAGTAAATTTAAAATAAAGTACAGGTAGTCTTTAATTTAGGTAGGAATGGACTTCTGAAAGCAACTGAGACTGTCTCACTGAAGAAAAATGCATTACAAATACAAGATGCACACAATACAGTAATCATGTTTCAGACTCACCTGGTTCTTTGATACTCATTCATATCAGTAACTTGCTGCCAGTACATAGCCACTTCAGGAAGATTTAAGCATTCAGCAATGTACACAAGGTTCAGCAAATCTTTCTGGAAGCAGCTACCACCAAACCCTATATTCACAAACAAAATCTTCAAACTGTGATAGTGAATAAAAAGTATTCTTATGGACAGATTTGAATACAATATAACTAATGCAAAGGTAGTGAAATTAGGCCCCTGAACTTTTAAGAGATGAGTAAAACAAAATTAAAAAAATAAGCATACATGTACTGAGACAAATTTGTGAAATTTTACATATTTCTGCCTACTTCTGACTCTCTCTCTTTCCCAATTCTTTACCTTTACTTTTTCCTTTGTACAGTATACTTAGGAATGAAAATTTTGTTTAAGCAACAGTTATCCCAACATGTGAGAGACAGAAAGGTCTTGAGAAGATTCTACATGAAGTCACCCTCTTACGTAAGGTGTTTCTAGAGAAAATAGAGTTTCATATGTACTTCAACAGATTATATGACCACTTAAACACAGAAGTTGGGACATCATAAAGATACCTCTGTTTCTGTAACCACAAATAGGTCATCAAACACACAGGCATACATTTTTAACTCAAAAGCCTTTTTAATCAAAGTATGGTCACATACAAAAACATGATCACTAGCAATTTAGCTCTATCTGCAACATTTATAAAGCATGTTTGATATCATAGAAGACTGTTGTCTTTCTTTCTTTCAACACACCGGCCGTATCCCACCGAGGCGGGGTGGCCCAAAAGGAAAAACGAAAGTTTCTCCTTTTACATTTAGTAATATATACAGGAGAAGAGGTTACTAGCCCCTTGCTCCCGGCATTTTAGTTGCCTCCTACAACACGCATGGCTTACGGAGGAAGAATTCTGTTCCACTTCCCCATGGAGATAAGAGGAAATAAACAAGAATAAGAACTAGAAAGAAAATAGAAGAAAACCCAGAGGGGTGTGTATATATGTGCTTGTACATGTATGTGTAGTGTGACCTAAGTGTAAGTAGAAGTAACAAGACGTACCTGAAATCTTGCATGTTCATGAGACAGAAAAAAGGACACCAGCAATCCTACCATCATGTAAAACAATTACAGGCTTTCGTTTTACACTCACTTGGCAGGACGGTAGTACCTCCCTGGGCGGCTGCTGTCTACCAACCTACTACCTATAAAGACTGTTGTCACTGTAATAAAATATAACATTCTCATTTGTGCATTTAATGGCAATTTTTGTTTCCCCTTTCTTAAATTTCATCATCATGCATTCATAATTTACAAGCTGAACATAAAAAAAAAAAAAAAATTCAAGACAAAATACTAACCAACAGATGCCTGTAGGAACTTTGAGCCAATCCTAGAGTCTTTGCCTACTGCGACTGCTACTTGCGAAACATCTGCACCAGTGGCCTCACAGAGGGCAGAGATGGCATTGATACTTGAGACACGCTGGGCAAGAAAAGCATTGGATGCCTGTGGGAAAGTCAGAGACATAATGGAGACAAATGGTTTTTGGGACCTGACAAGCTGTTGGAGTGTGAGAAGGGTAATATTTTGTTAAGGGATTCAGGGAAACCAGCTAACCAGATTTGAGTCCTGAAGGTGGGAAATACAATGTCTGTACTTTAAAGGAGGGGTTTGGGATATTGGCTGTTTGGAGTGACATCTAAACTGTCATACCTGGGGTGCATCTGCAAAGACAGTGATTATGTGTGAATGATGGTGAAAAATTTCATTTCAAGATTTCTATTTAATCAAAATTGTATGCTTTTGCTCTTATTCACTCCAATAAACATTTATGAAGGGGTTCAGGGAAACCGGCAGGCCGGACTTGAGTCCTGGAGATGGGAAGTACAGTGCCTGCACTCTGAAGGAGGGTGTTAATGTTGCAGTTTAAACTGTAGTATAAAGCACCCTTCTGGCAAGACAGTGATGGAGTGAATGATGGTGAAAGTTTTTCTTTTTCGGGCCACCCTGCCTTGGTGGGAATCTGCCAGTGTGATAATAAATACAATAAAAAAAAACAATTATTTACAGTGTTATGAGAATGATGTTCAAGTAGAAAAAAGGGTATATGGCACGTACCATAAGAAATGCTCCATTACACCAGTAATGTAGTGCTCTCAAATATATTACTCAATTTTTTTAGCTTTTCACAATCTCTAAATGCTTTAACTTCAAGGTGGGGTTTCTTATTTCTGGTGAAGGGCTTTCAATCCAAGAAATATGAGCTGCTCTCCCCTTTCTTGGATCAAATGTGATTATCTTCTATACCTCAGAGGCTGTGACCCCTTACAGGTTAAGCATACCTTGTGAATATAATAAAAAAAATCCTGTAACTCTCCTGCAACACCAAACTAGATAAACCATTTAAAAAAAAAATCCAAAGTATTGTACTTTCAGCTATACTGAACACTATTTACAAGCATACCAGTTTAGAAAGTTCAGATGACCAGGTACTAGTTGTAATTATTTTCTCTGTTGGGACCCAATGGTTGTAAATCCAAGTGAGTTGGGCAACAGCTTCATCACCCTCAACTGATTCCTCTCCACCAATCAACACACGATCAGGATGGAGAAGGTTTTCAACAGCAGTGCCCTCTGCTAAAAATTCTGGATTAGACAACACCTGAAAAGTAATGTTTTTATTTGCATAATATTAAAATAAGAGATATACAGTATGTAAATTGTTAATGATGGGTGAGGATAATGTACAGTAGGAAGTATAGTGGTATAAACCTTGGTAATAAATACCGACAAGTTGGTTTAGAAAGACACGTAAGCAAACACTAACATATTTATTAGAAAACGTTTCGGTCCTGGGACCTTGATCACTTCTAACACACAGAGGTAGAAAGACATTATATATAGGCGGAGAGTGAGGTGTGACGCACGTGACCTGAGGAATGTCATAAGAACATAAGAATGGAGGAACACTGCAGAAGGCCCACTGGCCCATGCGAGGCAGGTCCCCATCAAAACAGCCTCTGCCTATGATGAGGACGGGTAGACGATGAAATCATGTGACTCCTGTGTTGTTGGGTTGGTGCTGCTTAAGTATCATGTATGCCAATGTTTTTGAAATTTTGTAGTTTCCAGTGTTGCGTTCTATAGTGTCGGTGATGGCGATTAATGAGGCTTCTAGGCACCATCGGCGTCTGAGGTCTGATTCGGTGAGAACAAGTTGTGCCTCATTCCAGTTCATCAAAAGCCCCGTGGAGTCTCTGTGGAGGACACATGCGTACCTTACATCGTCTCTGTTAGAGGCATTTCGATGCTCATTCAGGCGGACTGCAAGATCTCTGCCTGTCTCGCCTACATATTTCTTGGGACAGAATGCAGGCGAGACAAGCAGAGATCTTGCAGTCTGCCTGAATGAGCATCAAAATGCCTCTAACAGAGACGATGTAAGGTACGCATGTGTCCTCCACAGAGACTCCATGGGGCATTTGATGAACTGGAATGAGGCACAACTCGTTCTCACCGAACCAGACCTCAGACGCCGACGGTGCCTAGAAGACTCACTAATCGCCGTCACCGACACTATAGAACGCAACACTGGAAACTACAAAATTTCAAAAACATTGGCATACATGATACTTAAGCAGCACCAACCCAACAACACAGGAGTCACATGATTTCATCGTCTACCCGTCCTCATCATAGGCAGAGGCTGTTTTGATGGGGACCTGCCTCGCATGGGCCAGTGGGCCTTCTGCAGTGTTCCTCCATTCTTATGTTCTTATGACATTCCTCAGGTCACGTGCGTCACACCTCACTCTCCGCCTATATATAATGTCTTTCTACCTCTGTATGTTAGAAGTGATCAAGGTCCCAGGACCGAAACGTTTTCTAATAAATATGTTATAGTGTTTGCTTACATGTCTTTCTAAACCAGGAAGTATAGTGCCTGCACTTTGAAGGAGGGGTGGGAATACTATTTGCAGTTCTGAATTGTAGTGTTAGTGCTACTCTGGCAAGACAGTGATGGAGTTAATGATGGTGAAAGTGTTCCTTCTTTTTTTGGGGTTATCCTACCTTAGAGGGAGATGGCCAGTTTGTTGAATTTTTATTTTTTTTTTTTATTTTGGTATACATCATTACATCTTACAAAGAATTTGCAATGTTGCATTTTACACAAAGACATTAGCTGCATTTTACAAGGAATACTACAGGTATTTATGATCAAGATGTAAATTTAACCCATACTGCAAAAAACTGAGTTCATTACCTTTGTAACTTGCTCAGCTACCAAAACTTTGGGGCCCAATCCCTGGACCCATTATATACCTCTGTAATCTGTTGACTACCACCCACAGGATGGGCATGGGGTGCATAATAAACATACATATTAAACTAAACCTTGTATATAGATTTATTTCCATTGGAATCTCTGAGATTAGATTAGGATTATTTACCTGAAAGGACACTCCAGGTCTTGTGTTGGCTGATAAGATATGGGTAATGGATTCAGCCGCACGCACAGGCACTGTCGATTTCTCCACTACAATCTTGTTTCCTTCCGCTACCTCAGCAATTTTCCGTGCACACATCTCTATGTGCTTCAGGTCTGCTGCTCGACCCTGGAAAACAAACAAGCATATTAAAAATATAATTAATATACTGCACTTAATAAGTAGCAGTAGTAATAGTATAAGCAAAAGTAACAGTAGAATTCCTAGTTAAAAATAGTAGCAGTAATAATAGTTAAAGATGTATATGTAGTAGTAATGGGAATAACAGAAGTAATAATAATAATAATAATAGTACTGGAAATTTATTGTACAAAAAAGTTCCATGACCGGATTCTTTTTTTATTTTTTTTTTTTATTATCACACCGGCCGATTCCCACCAAGGCAGGGTGGCCCGAAAAAGAAAAACTTTCACCATCATTCACTCCATCACTGTCTTGCCAGAAGGGTGCTTTACACTACAGTTTTTAAACTGCAACATTAACACCCCTCCTTCAGAGTGCAGGCACTGTACTTCCCATCTCCAGGACTCAAGTCCGGCCTGCCGGTTTCCCTGAATCCCTTCATAAATGTTACTTTGCTCACACTCAATCAGCACGTCAAGTATTAAATACATTGTCCCATTCCTATCAAACACGCTCACGCATGCTGCTGGAGCCCAACCCCCCCGCACACAAAACCCCCTTTACCCCCCCCCTAAAAACCCCTTCCTAGGCCGACCCACCCCGCCTTCCTTCCCTACAGATGATACACTCTTGAAGTCATTCTTTTTGTCATTCTCTTACTGTCCAAACCCATCAAAAACCCCTTCTAGCCCTCGGACAACAGTTTTGGTATCCGCACCTCCTCCAAAAACTTCCAAACTACGATTCTCTGCATTATTTCACACCACATCATTTGCCCTAGACATGAAATCTCCACTGCCTCAGCCTTCTCCTCGCTGCAACATTTCATCACCACGCTTCACACACCATATAGAGCGTTGGTAAAACTTACTCTACATTCCCCTCTTGCCCAAGGACAAAGTTCTTTTTCCACAGATCCTAAGTGCACACTCATCTTTTTCCTCATCATTCTATGATTAACATCATCTTATAGAACATCGTGACACGTCCCTCCAATTATGAATACGTTCACCTCCCGCATATTTCTCCTCAATCTGATATTCATCTTTCATCACTAATCTTTTGTTATACTCATAACCTATATTTGTTATTCACTATAATTTTATTCTTTTGCACACCCTACCAAATTCATCCACCAATTTGTAAATAATTTAAAGCCGCAGTCGTAGGGACCCCTTAATTAACATCCTTCCACCCAAACAAATACATATAGTGTACAAATCGTAGGATTAATATGCTAACTGATAGATGTAGGCCTTAAGAACAATTTAGGTAGGCTTAAATTGTTAGTAAACAATATCAGAATTAATAATGTAGCCTTAGACATTAATATTAGGTTGTACTATGTAATAAGATTAGAGACAATGTTAACTAGCAACCCCTTCCTTGAACTGAGGAGAGATGGTGCTTGCTGGAGGCAAGAGTTTCCTTCTGGCAACAGCAGCAGTCGGGATAACACTTCAGGAGCTATCAGCTCGAGTATCCCACGCTGTCTTCAAAATATTCTGTCTGGTAGCCAACAATGGTAATCAGAGGCCTCCCAGTGAACCGTGGACTGGTCTCTGCGCCAGACCCAACTGTGATACTCATTTCAGTATTTTCCCCATGTTATGTAGCCACTATTATTGGGAGAATAGTTAGCTTGCAGTTAGAAGTGGGCAGATGCCCAAATCTGAGGTGATTGGCAGCCAAGACTGTTGTGCAACTGTCCCTTAAATATTAAGCCAGAAGCTAGTATTCCCTTGTGTACATAAATAAGAGTTAAGGAAACCCCAATGAATTCAGGGTCCCTCAAGGTATAGGTATTACTACTTGCAGGAAGTAAAAGGACAAATGCAACTAATGTGACATTTTATTGTGGCAACATTTTGCTCTACAGGAGCTTTGTCAAGTTGTTACTAACAGTACATGGACACAGAGGGTATATATAGGCTCAGAGTGAAGTGCAATACTAGTAGTAGTAGTAGTAGTCGTAATGTAAGTTGTAGTAGTAGCAGTACATGCATAATGAACACATCTATGCATGTAGGAACGATAACTTGAACAATGCCTACATACAACACCGAAATTGCAAAAATCATCTCATAAAATTTTGGGATGCCCAATTAGTGATCAAAAAAACTAATTTCCACTAACACAAGTGCCTTGAATCAGCACTAATAGCTGTTTCTAATACAATTAAACAAAACAAAGGAAGCTTCACCATCTCTGAAGTCTTAGCAAGAATCCTCCTGAAAACAGTAAACCCTGCCATCACATAGTCTCTCCTGCTAATACTACACAAGCACATTACAGAAAATGAACATTGAAACAGGCCTTCTCTAATCCAGCCTCCAGTAAAAATATTTGTCTAACCTATTTTTATGTTACCCAAGTAATAGCTTTCATATCCTTTTACTCGTACGCAAGTTCTACGTTATTGTATTACTATTACTACAACTTATATCACTACCAAAAGTAGGGGTGCCATCGGTACACTAAGAGAAAACACCATAAGTGTCCGGGGCCCAAGACTGTTCAACAGCCTCCCATCAAGCATAAGGGGAATTACCAATAGGCCCCTGGCTGCCTTCAAGAGAGAGCTGGACAGATATCTAGTCAGTGCCGGATCAGCCGGGCTGTAGTTCATACGTTGGACTGCGGGCGGCCAGCAGTAACAGCCTGGTTGATCAGGCCCTGACCCACCGGGAGGCCTGGTCGTGGACCGGGCCACGGGGGCGTTGATCCCCGGAATAACCTCCAGGCAGACTACTACTACCACTAGTACTGCACCTCACTCTGAGCCTATATATACCCTCTGTGTCCATGTACTGTTTGTAACGGCTTGACAAAGCTCCTGGAGTGCGAAACGTTGCCACAATAAAATGTCACATTAGTTGCACTTGTGTCCTTTTACTTTACATATTGTCGGTAATTCTACCAACATATATACTTGCAGGAACCATTCCTTATGAGCACAAGGCATCTTGGAGAGTGAGAGAAGCCACTGGAAACCTAGATTAGCCTGGGAGAAAACAGGGCTTCTAGGAAGATAAACTCCACAAATAAAATATGGCTGTTTAGTTTGTGCATGCAGTTAGGAATTTCCTTCACAGCCTTAAGTATTCTCGAAAGAAGTATACCCTTAGGGGTGCTTGTGAGAACAGGGCTCTAGGAGTCTTGAGTTATTTGTGTCAACAGTAATTGAGTGAGTATTTTACAAGTTCCCACTGTAGTAATAATAGTAGTAAATGTAAGTGGTAAGTCTTAGTATTTATTGTAAACGCCCGTCCATCAGACTACCTCATAGGAACCTACCCAAATACGATATTCCTAGCTCCAACCAACCCCACTGAAGTTATGCTCATCATAAACACCCTTAAAAACAAGGCAGGAGACAAACAACTTGCCTGCTTTTATGTACAAAAAAGCTTCTCAAGTATTGTCACCAATTATTGCAACGCTGAAAATATCTAGCCTAGACAGGACTCGCAGCAATGGTTTTAAGTTGGAAAAATTCAGATTCAGGAGGGATATAGGAAAGTACTGGTTTGGTAATAGAGTTGTGGATGAGTGGAACAAACTCCCAAGTACCGTTATAGAGGCCAGAACGTTGTGTAGCTTTAAAAATAGGTTGGATAAATACATGAGTAGATGTGGGTGGGTGTGAGTTAGACCTGATAGCTTGTGCTAACAGGTCGGTTGCCGTGTTCCTCCCTTAAGTCAATGTGACCTGACCTGACTAGGTTGGGTGCATTGGCTTAAGCCGGTAGGGACTTGGACCTGCCTCGCATGGGCCAGTAGGCCTTCTGCAGTGTTCCTTCGTTCTTATGTTCTTATGTTTAACAAATCCATTGAATCATCTACCTTCCCAACAATCCTCAAAATAGCGAGGGTCACTCCGATCCATAAAGGAGGTGACCAAGCTGACTTGAATAACTATAGACCAATATCTAACTTACCACTGCTCTCTAAAATCTTTGAAAAATTAATTCATAGACGGATCTATTCCTACCTCGTTTCACACAACATATTAACCCTTGTCAGTTTGGATTCAGAAATAATAAAAGCACAAATGACGCTATCATACACATGCTAGAACTAATATATACCGCACTTGAAAAGAAAGAAGTCCCGCTAGGCATTTTCATTGATTTACGTAAAGCTTTCGATACAGTCGACCATGAACTACTGTACTCCAAATTAATGCACTATGGTATCAGAGGCCACTCCCTCAACTACCTAAAGTCATACCTTAGTAACAGAACTCAATATGTGTATGCAAACGATGCAAATTCCTCCACCCAACCAATCACAGTAGGAGTCCCACAAGGAAGCATCCTAGGACCACTCCTCTTTCTCATCTACATCAATGATCTACCGAATGCATCACAGCTACTCAAACCCATATTATTTGCAGATGACACTACATATACATTTTTCCCACCCAAACACAGTCATACTAGCAAACACAGTCAATGCTGAATTACGGAAAATATCTGCCTGGATGATGACTAACAAACTTACCCCGAACACTGATAAAACCTATTTCATTCAGTTAGGAAACAAAGCTGCAAATGATCCAATTAACATTACGCTAAATGGATCATCAGTCACAAGACTCACAGGGAAAATTCCTAGGTATCCACCTTGACAGTAACCTTAAGTTCCGGACACACATACAACAAATCACCAAGAAAATCTCCAAGACTGTAGGCATACTATCAAAGATAAGGTACTACGTTCCACAATCAGCTCTCCTGGCACTGTACCATTCACTCATATTACCTGGAGAGAGTTCCGGGGGTCAACGCCCCCGCAGCCCGGTCTGTGACCAGGCCTCCTGGTGGATCAGAGCCTGATCAACCAGGCTGTTACTGCTGGCTGCACGCAAACCAACGTACGAGCCACAGCCCAGCTGGTCAGGAACCGACTTTAGGTGCTTGTCCAGTGCCAGCTTGAAGACTGGCAGGGGTCTGTTGGTAATCCCCCTTATGTATGCTGGG